CGATATTTGATATTTGACATTTTCTTAAGACATTTGATATTTTGATATGTAATATGTAGGCTCATAATTATAGATATATTTTTAGAAATACATTTTGGAGTGATAGGTATCAATAATGTAATTTTAAATTGTAATTAGTAATTTAGGAGCGATATAGTTATGGTCCATATAGTTTTAAATTGTAATTAGTTTCCTTTAGACCGCATAGGTTACGTTTACGCCCTATGCGTGCCATACATTTTGCATCTATACGTATCAGTACTGCATATAATAATAAAAACAACAACTTTATTTAGTGAGGGTAGAACTTAATAGTGCAAAGCACTAATCAACTTGTGGCCCTCAATTAATTTTCGAATCGTGAACAAGGTCTAACAGACTTCGTGCCCAGGGGTATTTTTTTCTCGGAGTGAGGACAAACGAAAGAAGATTACCCCTGGGTTCCCGAGGATGTCCTTTAAATGACGCTGCATGCAAACCTGCACACAACTGATATAGTGAATTGGGTGGATATTCTTTTTTGTCGGTTTTCCGTGTTTCGTATACAAACTTGCTCAACAGAAACAAAGTTCAGCTGCTAACGTCAAAAATTGTTCACTTTTATGATAAAAGCATGAAACTTGGCATGAATACTTATCTCCCTAGTACTAACATTTTTGGATATAGGGCCAAGCGAAATTCACTTAGGGACAACACTTGTGCGCATGACTGATATGCAAATGAGGCTGAAAAATAAAATCACTATAAAATAGGACAGTTTAAGAGAAATCTGTCACTCAACATCGCAGTTAGTGATTTAACTTTCTTTGAGTCGGATAGAATTGGTCACGTGACCTTTAAAAAAAAATATTTTTATGGGATCCCTGTGTCAAAATTTTGAAAATACAGTGTTTTAAGAAGGTGGCTTGATGGAGCTACAGTATTACAAAGCTGTCAGTTAAGGCAAACGGTTTCTTTCTTTAGCCCAGTCGTCCCATGTTCTAACAGCCCAGGCAGTACTCTTTTTAGTATTTAGAGGAATCCTAGCTTGGTTTCTCTCTTCTACTTCTGCATCATTCATTTTCGTTATGACACGAGAAGGAATTTCAACGGCTGTTTCACTTTCCTTTCCAAACACAAATTCATATAAATCATCAACTTCATTGTTAGAACTCTGTTCTTCTGCAGTAAGAAGTTCTTCGACCTGAGAAGATCTGCGGTGCTGCCTTCGAAACTGTTTTGCGTAAGAAAAATCTAGGCTAAATCCGAATAGCTCGACATCATAACTCAGTCAGAATGTCGAATAAAATGAACTGATCCAGAAAATTGCAAGTATGTTAGAGCTTAACTAAGGAAAATAAACTTTCAAAGTCAAATGCTAACAAAAGAAATACGATCACGAAAATACTGAAATGCGTCAAAACATGCATGCTGCATGCATGATTGCTTTCATTGAAGTCTCGGTGTAATTAGCACAATTGTTATTCTACAAACCTCGACGATTTAACATAAACAACATAAATACATTAGTCTGAAATTTGTACTTAGCAATCACGAGTTTACTGCTAAATCCGTCTACTTGCATTGATTGTTTTCACTGAATATTGGTGTAATATTTAATAACATTGTTATTTTGAAAACTTCACTGATGTAAAAATAAGTCAGTTATCGGTGTTCAGCTCGTGGTTATGTGTATATTCACCTCGTGCTGCGCCCTCGGTGAATTCTTCCTTTGCAGGTACGTCATGGAAAAAAACATTTCCGTAAAATTAGTCATAAACAAAATACAAGTAATCCATGTGAAAGAGCGAGTAAAACTCTGTATCCCTGAGAATTTTTTCGCCGAAAGGAGTTTTATTTGCCAAGATATAAGCAATTTTATACGCTAATTTTTTAGAAGGAAATGTATGGCGAGGTCATGTTTATASGCTTCCACGGCACCAACATTTTTAGAGAGTTTTAATATCAAAGATAAAATTGCGGTACTTTCACATAATAGACGTATTAAAATTCTGTAGTTCTGTGAAATTTTGAGTCGAACCGAGCTTTTGTTGCAAGTTTATAAGCAATTTTATATGCCGATCTTTACAAAGAAATGTATGGCGGCATCGTACTGGTGGACCTCTGAAGTCCACCAGAAATGGCGGCTAACTGTTATGAACATAATTTCGGGTACAAAGTAGCAAATATACTTTATTTTCACTACATTTAGCAATTCTAAATCTATATTAAAACAAAAAACTACGATTTAGAAGAATTTTAGATGATTTCCACGGCTTTTCATGCGAGTGACCTGGCGTGGAGTRACATGACTTTGGCTACCAAATAAAACACCTTGTGCATMAAATTATTCGCATATAAGTTCAAAAATTATCTCGAAACATAGTTTTCTAAACTATATTTTAGAGTAAATCGATTTCATGAGAAATTAAGTTTAAATCAATTTTTTTTTGGATCTATGACGTAACGTGCAAACGAAGAATATATCACATAACCCCTCGCTTCAGGCCGATAATTTCGTAATGATGCTTTAACACTGGAAAAAAATCATTCACTTAAAAAGGTTGTAAATTTGATGTAAATATAATGTAAGTGTCCAAAATGATGTAAATTTGATGCTTAAATTTGATGTAAATTTACATCAAATTTACATCATCTTGGACACTTACATAATATTTACATCAAATCTACAACCTTTAAAGCGCGCGATTTTTTCCAGTGTAAATTACAATAAAAAAATAAAAGTTCGCTAATTTATCTTCTAAATAGGCGTGTTTTTTATATACAAACAAACATCCTGCCTAGACATGTTGACAGAAATGTGACAGAATGTAACTTTGTAGCTTTGTAACTTTTAAACTTTGTAACTTCGTAACTTGTTACGGTATTTCCAGGGAGCCGGACTTCGGAAGTTACTAGACTATAGAGGAAAAAAGTTTGCCTTACAAACAATGCGTCTTTTCAATATATATATCATATATTGACATTTGTTACTTTTTTCCAGTACGAGGYTAAAAATAATCAACTCATTTGTCATATTTTGAATATTTTGTAACTGCAATTTTTAGTTTGCCCGCGTGTTTGGTAAGCACAATAGCTCAGTTCGAAAACCAATTTTATACAATGTAATTATMATTTTTTTGAAAGACGTCAGTCAGCAGAGTTGCACCTGCCATGCAGCCAGTACATTGAACTGATTATGCAAAAAGTGAAATGATTGTAGAAACCTTTGAATAAAAAAAAGCCTAATCAAGGTTTGAAATTGAAACCCTTGTCTCGATGCTTTTTCTTTCAAAAATACATGAATCCTGCTGATTCGTGCTTAGGTGTTTAATATTGCTTATCAGAATAGAGGTTTTCTTTCAATGTGATATTTATTTTTACATAATTGTTTCTCAAAATGAGCAATATTTTGCTTTTTGACGACAGAATATTGGATTCTAAGAGTTTCTTCTTTATCGACAATTGAGACAGTTTTAATGTCAGTAACAATCGTTTTCAATTTCACTGATCAATATGGAATATATACTATTTGCGAAGTGTTTTGCATATATGAATAAATTTGTTGCTAGTGTTTTGGAAACTGAACAAATGAAGTCCGTTGCTACGTAAAACGATTATAGTGAATTCGGCGTCGACGCTGTAAACTACTGTAAAACATGTCTTCGTCAGTAATAGTCGCTGGTGTCAACGTCAAAGAAATAGCTACGTATTTGAATTGCTCAATATGTAGAAATATTATACGAACACCTAAGCTTCTTCCTTGTCTCCACTCTTTTTGTCAACATTGTTTGGAGGATCTCAATCGGAAAGACGGCATGCTCAACTGTCCTCAGTGTCAAACTGAAATTCAACTTTCAAATGAAGAGGTTAAAAGTCTTCCTAGTAACTGCTTTCTTGAAAATATGCTTGACATAGCGTTACTTAATTCGAGTGATACACGACCAGTGCCATGTACAAACTGCGATCTCAACGCAATGGCAAAGTCAAGGTGTATTGATTGTGGAGAGTTTCTTTGCGGAGACTGCTATAATGTACACAAACGGATTCGCCAGACTAAGGAACATCGAATTCTTACCATTAAAGAGCTGTTGTCGACTACAACAGGAGAAGTACTACACCGTCTAGCCTATTGTGGTCAACATTCTACAGAGCAGTTAAAGTATTTTTGTGATACGTGTAACGAAGCAGTTTGTCGAGATTGTTTGATAATTGAACACAGACAGCACAAATATGATTATATCCAAGAATCCAAGAAAGTAAAAAAGCAAAGATCAAACGTTGAAACACTTCTTCAAGAGACGGCAGAAAAGATTTCAACAATCGAGAAGGCCACTGTTGAAATAGAAAATGTACGTGATGCTTTGTATGGTCGCCTAGGAACGGTMAAGGGAGAGATTCGCACGATGACATCACAACTTATCAAAATCTTAAAAGAGAGAGAACAACAGCTTCTGTTTAAGGCTGACCAAATGTTCAACCAAAAGCTATCTATTCTCGACCAGCAGTCGCAAGAGCTGAACTTGGCTCACGTCCGAGTAAAAACTGCTTGTGATTTCACCGGACAGTTTTTGAATTTTGCCAATGAAGTTGAGATATTAACGCTAAAAGAACTGATTCGAAATAGGCTTTCGARTTTGAATAAAATGGACGTAGAGACTAAACCTAGGGAGCGAGGCGACATGCGATATGAAGTAGAGGCAATTGACTCTGAAAGAGCTGTAGTACAAGCATTAGGGAAAGTGAAAACCTCTGGTGAAGTGTTTACGGAGCCTATGACTCGCGAAAGTAGTGGAATAAACGAAAGTAACAACAGCGTTTTATTCACAACTCCTTTACACGACACGTCCAACTGTATCACAGTTGACTTAAAAGACTCTAATGAAGATATAATTGTACCTGCACTTCACGGTAAGCTATAGGCACATCACCTTTATTCATTAAAAAWTGATGACGTGATTTTCTTAGTGAAAATACCACTATTTTTTAGCGGCAAACAATGTAATAGTACATGCAAAATCAAAATCTTTTATGTAGCTTAAACATCTATAACYCTGTGAAAGGAGTAAAAATATTGTGATTCGAAAACCTGGGACATCGATTTTTAAGATAACAGTATTTTCTTGCTTATTTTGTGGGAGAAATTAATGGGTTTGGTCAGCTGGCTCAATGCGGTCGTGTTTGACATTTTTCAATGATATCCATTCAAAATAATGAGTCTATTTCCATCCGTTGTTTTTTAGATAAAGAATCTTACAATATCTGCATGTGGCATGAACTGTAATAATAGAGAGTACGTGTTCAGTCTTATACTTTAAGATCAGATCAGATGTATTGCTATTTTTTTAACATAAACAAAAGTACTTAAGGGATTCCGTTTGGGCAAGAGCTTTGTAAAGAAACGCTCTTGTGGGGCACATCTTTGAGCTTGGCAACTACTTAACTTGTCGATTAAATTTTCATGCAGGTCAAACAGGAGTTATCTTCAAGCCTGCAAAATCAGGCATTTATTCCCTTACTGTACAGTGCTGCAACGAGTTTATTACAAGTCTCCCAATTAATTACCACACTATACCGACACAAAAGGTTACTCCTCAGTCAGCGATCCGCGAGCGAAGCGCAAAGCAAACGTTTGGAGGTAGCGGTGGAAGATTCGGAAAATTATCAGACCCGCAAGACGTTGCTGTAGACAATGCGGGTCACGTGGTCGTTAGTGATTCAAGAAATCATCGTATTCAGGTGGGTTTTATTTTCGCTTTTATTTTTYGTTTGTTTTCAGGTCTATACTCAGGATTTTCACTCTTCGACATATATATGATGTAACGATGGCGATACACTAGTAGCTGTCAAATCATATAGTTTAAATCATTTTCATTGCATCTTAGTCTCCCAGACAATTTCCATTTTGATGGTTTTGTTTGCTAGTCTTTGTTTCAATTATTATAATTTACTCTAGGTATTCGATCTGGATGGAACGTTTTTACGTCGCTTTGGTTGTTCTGGTGCAAATGATGGGCAGCTTCAGTCCCCTAACGGTGTTGCTGTTAACCAAGACGGCAATGTAGTAGTATCTGACATGATTAATAACCGAATGCAGGTAACTTCTCTTTTTCCAATGCTTATTCTCCTCATTGTAGTGCTTCTCAGTTCAAACCAAGAAAATTCGGGATCTATCTAGTATTGATTGAACTTTACGTAGAGTAATTTACCAGGTATTTTGTGCCGGCTATCGATGTTCTCGTCCTAAAAACCCTAAAATGGTGCATTGCTCAAATATACCTTATTGAATGAACGCTTAAGCTGATATTGCGAAGTCTTAAAGAACATTCCAAACAAAGATTACTTATCGTACAATCTATAGGTTTGGATGATATTAACAACAAACAAGATAACCTTTTAGAAAAAAAGCAATATATTTTGATATTGCGCTTTTGATCTTTTTATTGTTAAAAAGCGCTCTATCAAGTAAATAAATTATTATTAAATTATTATCCTACAAGGTCCTACAAGTTGAGTCAACTAGAAGTTAAAAAAGGGAATTCATTTCTAATCAGAAATACACCTACTTGCAGAAACGTTGTCAAAGAAAACAGAACATTTGAATTTAGTAAAAAGGAATAAATTAAGAGAGTTAATCAGCCTCAATGATCTTTCTTTGTCTTTTTAATTTATTCCTTTTGCTAAATACATATGTCTTATTTTCTATGACAACGTTTCTGCAAGTAGGCGTATACTTGAGGTACGAAATGCATCTCGTTTGAGTGTTTTATCCAAAATMAAACCAAGCTCACAGTGGACAATGCGTCCAAAGATATGGGGATGTCTCCCACTATTATAGCAGTGGCAATACTTGTTGATTTCGGTGGAAACAAGTCGCAAGGCTTCTTTTTCCGATCGATTCCGGAACTAGTAAAACATCATGATAAACATGATATAGAAATAAAGGAAAGGAATAGTGCCTTTAATAAAATCCAAATGCACAACTCAAAAAGTTTTGACCGTTATGCCGATCAAAATCAGTGCTGCGATGATTTGAGCCGTTTTTTCATTGACTGGTTCAATCAAATTTTGCGTACAACTGACTTCAATCATTGCCAGAAATTCCAAACCGATATGGTCTGTTGGTTTCAGAAATTTGCATACTCTCGATGAAAATCGACTAAGTACATGGCTCGAAGAATGCTAGGTAAAAATATAGAAAGAAATACGTACGATTTATACATCAAAACATCTAAATTAACCACTACGAAATACTTTTTTCCCGTATGCCATTACACAGGTATCCCGAATACATTTTCTCCTAATCATTCTACACCGTTTCAATGGGCCTATTGCCCATCGAGTGAAATGTAAACTCAACGCCTAATCTTCTTAGTGTTCTCAATGTTCAAAGTCTGTTCATGATAATAAGTCACTTCCAAGAAGTCCCAAGAGGTTCYCCYKGGTTACCTCTTGGAGTGAGTAATGCAGCTGAGCATAGTCGGTACCAATGAGGACCGAGGTACGAAAAGTTAATTTCTAGAAGATGACTCCATTACTTTGCACGCTTGTTCCAATCGATGACCTTCATGTTGCCTGTTACTCTGTCTACGATGAATGCTAACTTCTGCTTCTTTGTACTGCCATTCAGGCTTTTGCAATTTCAAGAATTCTACTCGTGTTATTTCAAATGTATCGACTTGGCCATTAAAAAAGACTCTGACTGCTGGTTTGTTCTTTGTAGTCCTAACTCAGTGGCAACATCACTGTTTATATAGCTTTTGGTACTCGCATAATCTAGTTAAGCATTAACTACCACTTCACCATCTTTGAATACAACAGGTACAGTTGCCCAATAGGGGGTTCTGTTCACACACTCTGCAGCTCTTACGTCTGTCTGTCTGTGTTGGTAGGCAGGTTTTCGATTTACTGAAGAAGTTTTGCGCTTTTCTATGATTTTCTGTGCTGCTCGACATTCCTTGATGAGTTTCTGTGTTGTTCGATATGCCATGAAGAGTTTCAGATGCAATAGTCTGGAATTCTGCCTTAAGTATCCACTTGATCAATGTTTCTATACTCTCTGATTCGTAGTTTTCGTAAATCCATCGATGATACTTCGCCAGCATTTGCTCGGGCATCTTTTTCTGCAACTTTGAGCAGAGGGATCCATTGCCAAGCTCCTCGTCTCTTCCTATTGCTTCCTCGAGGTTGATGTCTAACAGAATTGCAAACTTATTAAGATCCGCTCTCCCCATGGGGATTGGTTTGAAGTTCTCAAGTTCTTCTAAGTACAATGCAATTTGTCGTCTTCTACCACGGTACTTCCTGTGGAGTCGACTTTTAGCAGCTTCGGAGGCTGCGGCTGAATGTCCCAGATTCAATTCTCTATAACCTTCAGTGCTTCACTGGACAAATACTGTCGTAGCTGGAACAGTTTGTATTCAGGTGCGGATGGTGCTTTTTCGATACAAGCGATTCAGACTGTTTTCCAATTTTCATATGTAGATTTGACTCCAGAAAATACTGGAATTGAAACTCTTTTCAACTATTTCCAMAGATCGTGGCCGCTTTCTTCCGAAGGCGTTGAAGATGGTGTACTGAAGTTAGCAGGGATTTTAAGCTTTGAGTTTCTAATGGTGAACTTTCATCATATCCTTTGAATGCAAATGGCAATTCAAGTTCCTTATTCATCTCTCTTTCTAGTGCAACTTGTTCCTGCCTTGACTGTTCTTCAGCCGATTTGTGATATACCATAAGTATTTGTAACAAWATTGATTTATTGCATCTCCAYCAAGGGTTTTTTTCCATAATTTTGAAAACATTGGGGGGGGGGGGCGCTAAAATGGTGCGTACTCTGGAGAACGTATCAAATATAAATTTCCAAATAAAATTAGCGAATTAATTAGTAAACTAGGTCATTCGCTTGTTATTTTTCATTTTAGAAGATTGATTTGTTTAAAAAAAACATGTACAACAGGCTGCCCTCTGTGCCTTGGACCGTTTTTAATTTTGAATTCTTAAATTAGTTTCCAATAATCCAGTTTCGAATTCTCCAATGCTCTGTGTTAGGCTCATTTTGTGCGCAAAATATTCCTAATTGTGATAATAAACGTGTGAGATTTCATATCAATGCTATTGTCTCTCTTTTCAAATTCCATGCGTTTTCACAAGCTATCAATAAAAGAACTTGGTTTTGAACACAGAGCAAACCAGAAATCGAAATTGGAGTATTAGGCTCGGAAAAATGCCTTCTTAATCCACTGAAAATTGTAAATGATTCTCAGAAATCTCTCAGAAAGTTAGAATGATTACTAAAGAACACGTTCGTGCAGTAATATTAGCATAAATGTAACTACAGTAAATGTACATGTTAATTTTGCTTACATGTATTTTCAGCTGATTGAGCTTCCTGTACATGTATACATAATCATTCGTTTCTTGATATGGTGTCTAGTTTTTTGTCTAAATTATTATGTTTAACCCTTTGACTACTGGGAATTTTTAGAAAAAGGAGGCATTTTTGAGGTTAAAAGATTTCAAATGTCCTCTCGACACGTTTGCCGTTCTATTTGAACTTTTGCTGTTTTGTAATACCTAAGGCTTGTTCACAATGCTTCGTTCGACAGTTTTTCACATTGTATTAGTGTTTTGTGGTTAAATATGCATAGTTAACTAAATAGTTTAGTGATTGCAATCATATTCACAAGGTTTGGCCGAGAAAAAATGTTTCAGTTCGGAGTTATGGGGTAGTAACTTTTGAATAGGATGAATGAGAGACCGAATATATTCATTCTAGTTGATATTCAACATCGAATAGAATAGGAGATTACATAGAGCAATATTTCGGTATTGCAAAACCATCATGAGGCTAATAGTTACAAAAGTGCAAAAACAAGACAATATATACTAGATAGATGAATTAATTAAACAAAGTTAATTCTCTAGAGGCGCGGAGGCCAGTGTTTTTAAAAGGACGGTTTGTTTTGTTTGATGAAAAAAGCTTCTTTATATAATAAAAGATTCCAATTGTTATCACTACTTAACAGAGGTGTTGTTCTGCACGATGTTTTTATAAAATTGGCGCTCATCAAACTTGTCTACATCATGGATGGAAAATAAATCTAATGTTGAAAGTTGTTGCAGTTTTCTAAATGACAAAAGATTCTACCTAAAACTGTCAGCTTGTCCTTGATTTTAGTAACTTTTGAGACCCAGCCATTAGGTCACTCCCATCAAAACGCACAAAATCTAAAGTATAGGGGGTGGTATTTATACTATTRTAGCATAACCAAGGAAGTGCAGCTACTGCAACATGTTCATATGTCACCACAGATTTCATATATCTTGTCGAACTTTGATTATCACAGGTAGTCACGTGACTATACTCAGCTCAAAACCCCCGGGAAAGTGAAACTAAGACGCTAATCCTAGCTCTAAATCTAACCCTAAGCTTATCTTAACCCTAATCCTAATCCAAATGTCAAACCTAGCCCTAAGCTTCAAAAAACATCAAAACCGTGACCCTCATTTTTGAGTTTAACATCTTCCGATCAGGGACAAATTTCCTTAATCAGGGACAGAATTGGCATTTTTCGCTAGGCGTTCTCTGGGGCTCACAGAGTCTCGCCCCAGGACTCCCCAACCCAGAGTAGAACGCCTGGGAACTAGGCTGCGAGGTCTGATATTTTTACCATACAGACCGAACAAACGATGTTAATTAACTTTTTATTATATAACTTTTTATATTTTCAACGCCACGCCAACATTTATCTCTCATTTGGTACTGCACTTCCCGAGTTCGCTTGCTGGTCTGAACCCAAGAAAGAGACAGTATGGAGTTAATGGCTATGAGGGAATAACCCTCAAAGCCATGTTTAATAATTAACAAAAGTCATTTAATATTTAACTAAAATGATTGCAACAGCTAAAATCATATCGGACCAGCAAAGGTGTGGGCGTTTTGAGCAATCAGGTTGGTGTGGTGTGCCAGAATGAGATCGGACAGCAATGGAGTTGGTAATAATTCAGTCTCGTACCCAGCGCCACTGTCCCTCTTACTCGCAGGAAAACAGTGACTCTGGAAATTTCGAAAATTTCTCGCTCTCTGATTGGCTCATAAAATAAACAGCTTGCCGCCGTAAGTGAAAATATCACGGAGAAAAACACTCAAATCATTCTGTATTTCGCTACCTCACCTTGAATTCTTCCTTTAAAAGCATTTATTAAGTCTATGAAATAGGAATTTGAGAGTAATATGATCAATTAAGTATAAACTTGGAATACAACGAGGCGACGAACTGTCACGCCATGATAATCACTAACCGTCACTGTCTGCTACTATCTGATCATAATAGATATCAAAATAGCTTCGAAGAAGATAGATTTATCATCTAAGGTCTAAAAAAATCCCTTTWCTGACTTCGAAGSTTTTCATTTAGCCGATTTTCTTGAGCAAAATCAGTAAAATAAAGCCGTTAGATCGGGTWTCTACTGCGCATGGGTGAAATAGCCAGTTTCTGACGTCCGGTGTTTGATATTTCCAGAGCTCTTGTTTTTCGTCGAGCATGCGCAGTAAGAGGGACAAGGGCGCTGGGTACGAGATCGGTAATAATTCGGCTACGCCCTATTCCTACTCACGCGCAGTATGATTACGTGTTGGAATATATTCTTATAAGGAAAGTAAAATCACTGCACTAGTGAATGTAAAATCACTGAACTATATATGAATGTACAAAGTAGAAAAATGACACGATTAGTACATATTGTCTGGACTGCATTAACGACCGGTCACGCGATTGGTATATACCGATAACCCATATATGGGAATGGCACATGGGCTTGAACATGAAACATCTATGTCTGATGCTGACCAGGTAATGACAATAAGAAAAGATAAAACACACGGATAAAACCCATAAATAGAGGCATTGAAAACATAAAAATCCTATTTTTGCCAAGTATTCCATTTATATTTTGAACGCCAACTCCATCATTTATTTCTCATAGAAGACTCTAAGACGAAATAGAAGATAGGCGAATGTAACGTCAAAATGCATTAGATTTTCATYGTTCAAAAGAACTAATTTGTGAATCAGACATTCGCATCTATGCGAAAGCTATCATGGCCTTTATAACGAGAAATGTTTAAAAACTATCAAAAAACAAACGCCATGTACGGAAGGACTTGCCGAGATTTCCCTGCTTTGCGATAAGGGACCGTGTAATAATTACCAGGAGGGGGAGCGTAAAACCAGAGGGGGGGGCATTACATAAAATTGATGGCAAGATAGGAGGGGGGCTCAAAGTAAAATTACCTAAATAACGGAGGGGGGGCTTAAGTTTAATTCAAAATTTTCATAATTTTCGATGTCTCTCAAAACGCTGGAAATCGCATTTCCAAGAGTTATTTATTTCAAAATTTTCTGGGGAAGGTCGAGACTCCCTAAATATTCATGCCTTTGGCGGTCGTTACACCCCCAGATCCAAAATATGTGTCGCGGTCCCTAAAATGTGCATAAAAAGTCCAAAAAAGTCGTTTCTGACCATAAAAACGTTACATAAGCCTTTTTTGGACCTTGAAAACCATTGCCAGGAACAAAATTATTTTAAAGAACCAAGGGCGCCAAATTTCTCCTAGTCAGGTTGCAGAACGAATTGTGGACCTTGGTAATATGATTAGCTCCGATTCTCCTGCAAACAAGATAACAATTTCCAGCCTAATTTGTCGAGCTGATGACAGCGAGGATAAGGTAAAACAAGTGAACAAGATTTTACATAAATTCGCTRGGCAGAACGAGTGGAACTTTATTTCTAATACTAATATTAGTGCTGCAAATCACCTMAATGCCAGCGGTCTGCATCTTAATTACATGGGAACCAAATTGCTGTTCTCCTACTTATCAAATCATATTAATCGTAATTGACCTACTGTGCATGTTGCAGCCGCGAATTCCCCTTTTATTTTTCCTCAAACACTTATTAGTCATATTGAGGAGTTACGTATCTTGCTTGCCGATAACCCGATTGATGTATTAGCGCTAAACGAGACATGGCTTGACTCTACTATAAATAATAATGATTTACATATTTTGGGCTATGAAATTATTAGACGGGACAGAGCAACGTGCAGTGCCGATGGTAAAGCTGTGTTTGCTTTTACGTGCGAAGTAGCGTAAATTTTTCTCTTCGACCAGACCTGTCTGTTGATTTACTGGAAAATTTATGTATTGAAATTCGGAAGCCCTCTTCCAAGCTATTTTCCTTCGTTTGCTTGAAAAATAAAAGCCGTAAAAACAATGAGCTCTGATATATTGATTTTGATTTAATAGCTCGTAACTCGAAGACACTAAGTTACTTTAGCTGCATCCTCGAAGACACTAATGTATGTGTTAGTTGCACCGAGTTATGCGCTGGGTGTGACCGAGGCAAATTTGGATGCGGTCGAGCGCGTAACTCAAAAAGTACATAACTCAAAGCGCGCAACTCGAAACGCGTAACTCGAAGCGCGTAATTCGAAGATTACCCGCCCTTGTAAGCAGATCGCAAAAGTATTTTCTGGTAACCGGCTGACCTTTCAGTATAAAGAGGGGACCTGGTGCAGTACCACGGAAAGATAAATATTCTAGCAAAATTTGCACAGGGCAGGAAATAGACTGGCGCTGAATGACCAATGAAAAAGGTGGCTGCTTAAAAGCTGTTCTTATATCGGATAAATGTGACCTTAATAGAGACAACGTGGTTAGTAGCGTTAACGAGCTTAGTAATGCTGTCGACAGTTAGTATGGCTTTATTGCAGTTTGTTATCGCCATTTCAACTACACGCAGGAATGCGTGAAATGCCAAAGAACACATAGCCCGAAACAAACACAGCACGTAGGGTGAGGGAATGATTTCACTGGCGACGCTTAATAACTTTTCTCATACTTATAATTATTCATAAGGTATCCAGTCAATCCTGATTGTAATTTGTACCACGTGCACTAACTGGATGCCAGAGGAGGTACCCCTACCTTGTATTCTACCTTATTTCCAGTTATTTTCACCTTCTTTCCAGTTACTTCTACCTTGTTTCCAGTTACTTTTACCTTTTTCTAACTACTACTAGCTAATGACAATCAAAGTATGAGAAATAATTAATATAGAATTAATTTAGTGAAAAAGGTCATGACTGCCTACTGCTACTTTGTGTCCCGAGGCAGGCCTGTAATACAATAAACTTCCAAACAGTGTCCTGCATCCTGCATACCTCCTGCAGTGTTACCAAAACACTCAAAAATGTTCCTTTTAATTAAAAATCTTTTCTGTCACCGTAACTCGAAAAATTGCAAACTCAAGACCTCAGTCAATTTTTAWTTTTATTTCACCTCCGAAAGACATATACTTTTATAACAGCCATAACTTTGTAGATGAGTTCCTCACAAAATCTATGACAAACTTACTTTACTAATGAACTCTTAATTTACACATTCGTCTTTCAGATATTTACTATCACAGGTCAACACGTGAAAACATTTGGTCAAGATGATCTACATCACCCGAGTGGAGTCACTGTCGACAAAAATGGGAATGTAATCATTGTTGACCGTGGCAACGCAAGAATTGTTATTTATGACAAAGATTGTGAATTTGTAACAAGCTTTGGTAACCTGGGAAACGGAACGGGTAATTTTAACTGTCCTTCACATGTTGCAGTAAACAGTAAGGGGCATATCATTGTTTCAGATTTCGGTAATGATCGCATCCAGGTGTTCAGCTCAACGGGCAACTTCATGTTCCGTTTTGGAGAAAGTGGACGTGAGACTGGTCAATTCAATTGGCCGACAGGAGTGGCTGTCAACCAAAACGATCAGATAATTGTTAGTGACTCGTATAATCATCGTATTCAGATATTTAACTCGGATGGCTCGTTTGACAGTCAATTTGGCGCTGAGGGCGTAAAGGCGGGAGAGTTCAAACGACCTGCAGGAGTAGTGATGAGTAAAAATGGTCTGATTATCATTGCTGACTGGGGAAACGATCGGATTCAAGTGTTTTAGCTAGGCAAATGTTTTGCTGTTTGAGCCTATTTAAGCATAATTTTAATACCGATTGAAACCTGCTTTTTGATTACACCCCTTAGTACTTTACTTTTACTCTATTGTTTGCTTGGAAGAGCGATATATATTTTGTTCATAGTTTTCTCGTACCTTAAATTAATCGACTATCACAAAATGATGTTCAGAAATGGAAAGAGGGGATCAAAATAAGTAAGAAGACAMAGTTTCAAGTCTCAACACTAAATACTTCAAAAATGACAGCAAATATAAAATCATTTTTTTTTTCTAAAGAAACATATGCAAAAACAGAACTGGAGAGCAAGCCTTGCTCTCCAGCTCTATTTTCCCATACATTTCTTTAGAAAAATCAATATTTTACATTTGCTGTCATTTTTTAAGTATTTAGAGTTGAGACTTGAGACTTTGCCATTTTACCTAAATAAACCTGCTCTGTCCATTTCTGAACATCATTTTTTGAYAACTGATTGATTTAAGGTAGGGGTGGTCACGTGACCCCMAGCTGCAAAAGGCCTATTACGAGATTCGTTCGATCAGTTCCGGATGACCCTCGTGTTGTAATTAGCTAAATCAAGAAGTTCCGTGAGTGGAACTTCCTTACAAAAGTGATAGTGGTAGTCCGCAAAATGTGACAAATTGGTGATTATCACTTTTGTAATTGAGTTTTGCAAKTTATGCACATTTTTTATGTTTGGAAACTGACGTCTGTCAGACTACACTTCCGCTTTTGGAAGGGAGCCACTTCACCTGTTTAGGGAGTGTTAAAAAAGTACCATGGGGTAACTCAGAATTCAAAGGAGAGGGGGCATATCGTTTAAACCTTTTTTTTATTTTACTTAATTTAATTATTTGAAAGAGGCTTCGACATCCAAGGGGACAGCATCCAAGTTAATCAATGAAGATCAGGAGGGAGAGGTTAAGACTGACCTAACTCTTAATTTAAACGAGACGCATCTGCGTGAACTAGGGGTTCTGCTTGGTAAATATCTACTAGTGAATCAATATGTTAGGTAAATTTTCAGTATATCCATAAAATTTGTATACATTTGTCATTTATTTCTTTGGTAAGTTTGATGGTCTGTATATAAATTTTAGTGGCACATAGACATTGGCAATATAATTCAAGTAAACTATTATCGAACATACATGCATAAGTTATCTTAACGATGGTCTTTATTTTTGTCTGAATTTGAAAACCGGAGAGAAAAAGCATAAAAATATGCTCGTAGTCGGCATCTCTTCGGCCATCTTGAAAATCATCGATATGCAAATTTATGCAATGACGTCATTAGCAGGGGAGCATTTACAAAACCTGGCAGTAAAACATGTACTGTCCTGTCTATGGGTGCAAGAGCGATAGCCAAAAAGACAAAGAAATTCATTTCTTTGCTTTTCCTAGCGGAAAAACTCCAGAGCAGCATTACAGGAGAAAAGCATGGGTCGAATTTTGTAAAAGAAAAGCATTTAAACCGTCTTCTACTTCGAGAATCTGTTCGCGCCACTTCGCAGATGATGCATACGATCCATCACATTCTCCAAAGTTTCTGCAACAAATACAATGCAAAGAAAGCTTTAAGGTGCTTCTGAAAAGAGACGCATTGCCAACATTGAATAAACCACAAATATGCAGTAGTTTACCGGGGCCTAGCGAGAAAGCGACACGACTATCCAGCGATAACAGACGAAGAGGTAAAACTGAATGCTGACTTGCCTTAATTAGCTTACACCTGTTCAATTCCTAAACATAAACTTAGATGTACGTTTGCGCTGATATTAAGCTTATGAATTTACTAGGATCTAAAGGAAATGTTACAGACGTCAGATAAATCYGAACACGACGAATTCATCACAGATCATGACGAACCTATGTAATAAGAGTTGGTGAAACTATTCATGATGCAATTCCATCAGAGTACAATTCTGAAATACCCACGAACATGACGTCCAGTCAACTCAGCATAACCTCTAATACTAAGTACACTCAAACGTATTCAAAACCTAAAACACGTTCTATAAAAATACAAACACATATAACTGCAAATTCCTCGTTTTTGGAAGACATGTACTCATTAAATATTGCRCCAGCACCACTACAACTTTAGTTTACATGAGTTTACATAATATATTTTACATGCAGGTTATGTGGACTTAGTATTTGACGAAGTTGTCCAGCTTAGATTGCAATATAAAACCTTGAAAACAGCAAAACARCATGCCATGGAAACTCTGCCACACGAACCCACTTCATTAGTTGAAAAGTACTTGGCTGGGAGGGAACGTCCTTTGAAGGAGCAAGTTATTGCCAATCGACGTACACGTTACAGCTCACCAGCAGTTTCAACTACAAGTGCAGAAGTAGTGTCATGTTCATGTAAAGGGAAATGTGCAACAAGGGCATGTAATTGTAAAGGAAAAGATATTGATTGCACTGATGCATGCTGCTGTAGTGAAGTGAAATGTAAAAACCGCCAGTAATTAAACCAACCTGTTTCCTTAGATAGTTTCATGTTCAAGCTTATA